CGAGTGCGTTCAATAAAATGTATGAGTAGTATGCTCTGCAACGACTAGAATAGCCACAATTGCTCACCCCTTGTGCGGACTGCCTCCGAAGTCACATTACAACTGACCGGTGAGTCCTCGCTAGCCCGTCTCCATTGCCCCTGTTGGCAGTAGATACCGGGCGTCGATTCCGGACGAGCGCCATGGAGACTGCCGGTCTGCAGACTCAGTCTGGCTTGGCAGAAGCGGGTGTCCGGTGGATTCGCGTCCCTCCCTTTGCGGCACGAGAATGCAGAAGTCGGCGCTGCTGGGCGCATCTCGTCAACCTGGTCCACTTCGAGCATGTCGTCGTAGACGTCCGCTTGTCCCGGCCAAGCCTCGTCGTCGCCGGCCTCCTCTTCCGTCTCTTGCATTTCGTTGCCAAGGCACGTGAAGTCGCGGTCGGTGTTGGCCGTCTGGCCGGAACCGTGTCGCCGAGTGTGGCGACAAGCCTCGGACGGGAGGGACTGTCTGGCGGGCTGGTGACCGGCCGGACAGACGCGATTGCCGCCGACCGCCGGAAGTTGCTGATGCGGTTGGAGGCCGCGGTGCGCCTGGTTACGGCCGGCATGCGGCAGACCGTGTTGGGGCGAGGTGAAGCAGTGGGGCGGCCGGTGTTCGGGGCAGGAGTCGAGACGAATGCCGTTCTGGCCGCAGAACGGACCGGACAAGCAGGGTCGGTTGGGGTCCGACTTGTGGCGCAAGCGCAGCGGGTGCTCGCAGTTGCGCACCGGCGAGAGCGGCGAGAGGTTGGGGGGCGTGAAGTGGGCCGAGTCGACGTCCGGGACAACTGACAAAGACAGCGTCGGGGGTGCCTGACCTGCGGGACTCGAGACACGACCCGTGGACAGAGCAGAGTCAAGCGAGTGCTGAGGAAGATAAGACGGCTTCGTCTGAAATGAGCTGAAAAGAGAAAGGGACAACCAAATGAGCTGCCATTTGCCCACAATCTGATGAGTGCATCTCATCACTTTGCTGCACAAAAGCTGATGGGTTAAACGTCAATGACCCTTGATCGAAATGGTAGGACTAATGGTTTCGTAAATTGATTATCATGCTTAAAAAAACAACTCATATTTCATTATCCCAACCATACTTATCTACCGACTGAAACAGTTTCAGGCAAAGATGTTCTCGTACGTACATTGTAGATACGAAGAGAAACTTGCTTTCGATGAATCTCCTGAGATAACATTGTTAGGGACACCTTCATTTCGAATGAAAGTACATGAAGAAGAGATTCGTTTGTCGATCGCACCAGATGAGGACGGATGAAAATCGTTTGACTTTTATACCATCTTCATGTTGACGCAGTCCACGAGTATTCCTCCTTCGTTTCGGGTGAAAATGTGCCCATCAAATAATGGACATCATCAAAGTTGGGTTTCATTCTTGTAAGAGTCTCACATTAACACTGAAGCAAGAACACTATCCGGAAATGGAAGAGAATAAGTCCCTACCTTTTCTGGACGTTCTCGTCATTAGAGAAGAGGGTAAGTTAGGAAGAGAAGTTTATAGGAAGCAAACATATGTTGGCTCTTCGCTTAATTTTTTTCTAATCATAATTACAAAACTAAAGTTGGTATTTTAAAGTCAATGATTATTAGAAGTATAAAATTAGCGGATAGCAACCATTTGACTAGAGAGTTAGAACGGCTGACAAATATATTTTCCTAGAAAATAATTATCCTTTAGGCCTTATTGGAAATAACATCTCTTTACTGAGGAATAAATTTTCAG